TCCGGCAATCACATAGAAGAAACCTAATTTCATATAACACTGATAAACCCAGTTAAAATCAAACTCAATCTCCTAACTTCATGTTGTACTCAAACACTTCTAAATCACATATAAATATAGCCCAAAACCCAGCACTTTATCACCAAGACTGAAACTGAAGATTGAGGAAGAGCAATTTGGAGCTTGGCTTTTCAATCAGGTAAAATTTATATTCTCATGATTTTCTTTATTAGACAGGCTTTTATCTGCAGGGGTAATAAAAATACTTGCAAACAACAATACAACTGCAACAAATAAGGAAAATTACCCGGTTCGTTATACTAGTATTTTCATCATCCACTAGAAATCAATCATTCCTAAAGATTAATGCTCCATTCAGGACCATACTGGCAGTAGCTTTATATCGTCAATTGTTGCCGAGATTGTCCATCGCTTCACTATTCTCACTGTATTTGCGTAAATTAAAAGAGGAAAGACAAAAATGAATGTTGACATTAAAGGTCTGTGCACCTGTTATGTTATTGCGGAACATAGACCACTCTCTTGGTCTTTGTAACGGGACACGACTCATCATCACAAGATTGGTAGGTCACATTGTCGAAGCAAGAATAGTTAATGGGACACATGAAGGAACCTGCAAATTTCTTATCCCCCGAATGTCTCTCCATCCCTTTGATACTTGCATATGTCATGACTATCAACAAAATCCAAGGTCAAACACTAACTCACGTTTGGTTATTTCTAAAAAAAAAAACAGTCTTTAATCACGGACAATTGTACATGGCTTTCTCCCGAGTCACCCATCCTGATGGCCTAGAGGTATTAGCTCTAGACAAGGACGGACAATATTGTGTTGCGACTACAAATGTCGTCTACAAAGAGGTGTTCAATAATGTGTAAATACAATCGATGATACTATGTTTTCTTTTTCATTTTTTTTTAAATGACAAAATTGCTTTATATCTAGACAAGAATATATCCTTTATACAAATGAATTAGGATAGCAATTGATTACTATAACTAAGTTGCTAGAGAACGAGCACATTTGCCCAATTTATAAAAATCCTAAATAATTATATATATAAATCTCTAAAGTTACAGCACTGCATGCGTACATCTACACATTAACTATTAATTTGAGCAATTATTTGCTCAAATTCAAGCAATGATAATATCAACAAACATAAACGATCGAAACCATATATTCATTGCACTATATAATACTCTGTATTTGATATTATAATTTAAATAATTATATATCGATCCAAATATTTTTAATATATTATAACAAATCCATTCCGTGCAATCGCATGGGTGAAAATACTAGTTTATATTTAAAACAATTTAAATTTTATAAATATGTGCTTTTTTAGTCTTTTTACATTTATCAGTTTTTTTTTTTTTTTGAGAAAAAGACCTTAATTCATTAAATCATAATGTGGAGTTGCTACAAGATAAGGCGGAGGGTTATCAAACCACTCCCCGCAACCTGACATAGAAACGGCTTCCCGAGCAACAGCGTGGGCAGCATGATTCGTAGACCGCTTAACAAAACATAAGTGTACACCATTTATCGTGGATGCAACTTCTTTAACATGGTCAATAACAAAACCGAAAGCAGAATTAAAAGAATTCGAAGTTAAAGCAAAAAAAAAAAAAAAAAAAAAAAAAAAAAAAAAAAAAAAAAAAAAAAAAAAAAAAAAAAACTAATTGGGAGTTTGTTTCAATGTCAACATCTCCCATGCCTATTCCTTTCAGCCAACTGAGAGCCTCCCTGATGCAAACCGCTTCAGCCTCATTGACACTATATTGACCTGGAACGCTCATACCTTTTGCTGCTAAAAAATGGCCTCCATCATCCCGTAATAACCAACTTATTCCCATCATATTATTAGCGGTATCAAACCCAACATCTGTGTTTAGCTTTAGGCGACCTGGAAACGGTGGCTTCCACTTCATCTACATTGCACAGGCCATAGAAACCTTCTCCTCCAAGTCGTTTGTTGCCCTCCAAGTAGTAAGGTAAGATAAGGCATTATGAGCAACACCACTGCATGCAAAAGGGGAACCCTTCCAAACCTTATCATTCCTACTCCCCCACAAACCCTAAAAAATCATTACAAAATTGGATTTCATATCTTCATCAAGCATAAGAATCAACTCAAGAAACCAATCAACCACATTACCTTGGGTGTGCGGTTGCATAGGCAATCCCAAACCAGACCAGACTGCCGCAAGAACTGGGCACTCCAAAAATAAATGTAGAGTTATTTCCTCCACTAGGACACACATATGGCAAAGCAAAGAGCAAGAAACCTGTTTTGTAAGGAGAGCGTCACGCGTAGGTAGCACTGCCGAGGCAAGTTGCCAGCAAAACAACTTTACTTTGGGTGGTACCTGCAGGTTCCATATCAAACGCCAAGGCCTATTATCATGAGCTTCGCCAACAAGAAATCTATAATATGATTTAACTGAATAATCACCCTTGGTTTCCCCGTGCCAAACCCAAGCATCTGGAGGCTTACGCATACTTACCAGGATATTTAGGATAAGATTGGCATCTCGTTCATTGAAGATGTCTTTCACACAATCTGTATCCCATCATGTTCCTTGTACATTAAATAAAGAGGACATCGGGGCATTATGATGGACTAATGCAATGCAGTACTCACTTTTGGACTCTCCATCACAGGTAGCCAAGGATCACGACCTATAAGTGTATTCATGCCATCACCAATACTTCTTCTCAACCATTTCTTAATTATATCCTTAACCTCCAGCATCCCTCGCCATATGAATGATGGGTTACTTCCAACAGTGGCATCAAAATAAGAACATTGAGGGAAGTAACGACTTTTATAAACACGAGCCACAAGAGAATTCGGTCTAGTTAGCAGCGCCAAGCCTGTTTACTCAGGAGTGCCAAATTCATCTCCCGAATCCTCCCAAAACCCAGACCACCTTTTTCCTTAGGGGAGCACAAACCATTCCAAGATTTCCAATGCAACTTCTTGCCATCAGTAACTGAACCCGTCCACCAGTGTTTATTCAAAATAATTTCGATATCATTACACAATCTGGCTGGCAACAAAAACACCAGCATGGTGTAGCATGGCATTGCCTGAAGGACATTTTTCAATAACACCTCACGACCTGCTCGTGACAAGAACTTAGAATTCTAGCTACGAACACGGTTTAAAATCTTATCCTTCAAAAATCCCAAAATTACTTGCTTGTTTCGATCAACCAAAGATGGCAATCCAAGGTACTTTCCAGATGTATTACCTTGGCTCACACCTAAAATATGTACCACCTCATTTCTGCTTTGTTGCGACACATTGTTACTGAAACAGACCAAGGATTTATCAAAATTGATTTGTTAGCCTGACGCTACCGAATACCTGTCAAGAACAATTTCCATTTCATGGTTCTCCACACTATTTGCACGCATGAACAAGAAGAAATCATCCGCGAAAAGAAGATGAGAGATTGGAGGGGCACCATGCGCTACTTTGACACCATGCAATAAACCCCTACTCATCCTGTTTTGAATTAGAGCACTCAACCCTTCGGCTAAGAAAAGATAGGGTGATAACGGGTCACCTTGTCGGAGACCCCTTCCCGGGATGATTCGACCCAACTGGCGCTGCTCATGAAGGATATGGTACTTAACTGAACTAACCGTTTCGAGGAGAATATCCACCCATTTCTGATCAAAATCCATCTTAGTCATAACTACGCTTAGGAAACGCCATTCGACCCGGTCATAGGCCTTGCTCATATCACCTTAAGAGTTGCCACTCCCTCATTACCCTATGTCTTGCTTTTGAGATAATGATGAACCTCATACGCAAGCATAATGTTGACGGTGATCAGACGGCCCGGCACAAACGCACTCTGAGCTGAGGATATCAAACCGTCTAGGAGAGGCTTCAGTCGATTTGCACAGACCTTTGAAGCAATCTTATAAAGAACGTTACATAGAGCGATGGGTCTTAAGTCCTTCATAGATTCGGGGTTCACTTTTTTTGGAATTAAACAATAAAGGTGTCATTTGCTTTACCCGGCAAGCTAGCAGTCTCCACAAATTGTCTACAAAACCGTGTCACATCCCCACCAAATACTTCCTAGAAATGTTGAAAAAAATGTGAACCGAAACCATCCGGTCCAGGAGATTTATTAGGATGCATTTGGAACAAAGCTAAACGTACTTCTTCTGTGCTTACTGGTTGAAGCAGACGCGCATTCTCCTCTAGTTTAACATACGAATGTATGCATGCTATCACATCATCAATTTGCCCATCTTGAGCGGAGAACAATTGTTCAAAGTAGTTAACCATCACATTCCCAATGTCCTTAGTTCCTTCAACCCAGCTCCCTTTGTCATTGCGCAATTTTTCAATCTTATTTCTTCTCCTTCTAGTTTTGACAGAGTTATGGAAATACTTAGTGTTCAAGTCACCACCTTTCCACCAATGTTCTTTAGCCCTTTGCTTCCAATATACATGTTGTTGTTCCATTAGGATTAGAAGTTCCTTTTCAACACGATTAAATTCAGCAACGCCATAATGATCCATGCGGGTACGTAAGATTTCCAGTTGGGCTTTACATCGATCAATTCTATGTTGCAAATCTGTATTATAATTGCAACCCCATCTCCATATATTCTCCCCGCAAGCTGCAACTCTATCGAAGATATCAATTCCCATCGTTGCATTCCAACTTTGGTCGACTATCTCTCTACAGGATTCCTCTCGTAGCCATATGTTATCAAAATAGAATCTTCTACGACGAGAAGCAGGTAATACCACCACCAGAGTAAGTAAGATGGGTAAATGGTCGCTATAAGGGCAGGTCATCGAACTCGCTTTTGCTCCTTCAAACAATGATAACCATGAGTCTGTGGTGAGGATTCTATCAAGCTTCTCCTCCACCATTACAGGCGTCCCCCTGGAACCAGACCAAGTAATTTTTTTTTTGAAAGTTTTAATAGTGGTATATTAATGGATAAACTGAATGACAGAGTTAGGAGGGACAGAGTCCCAGTACATAGATTGTTCCTGATCGAAAGCTAACGAAGCTAAAGTATGAGCATGAAAATTAAGAGTTCTAGAGACATAACTTAAAGAACACTTTGTAAATAACGATATAGCTGTCCTACATTGGTCCACAATGATCCCAAAGTAAGAGTAGTTAGCCGTTGGGCTTGAGTGTAGAGCATTTCGTAATTCCAAGCAATCTGTTAAAATATCCACCTCCATGATATCACGATCCTTGAGCCAAGATAGCGCCTCTTTGCATGCTAGTGCCTCGGCCATAATAGCCGAGAAAGCACCCGAGAGCTTTCCACTTGTTACAGCGACAAAGGCGCCGTGGTGAGAGAGGAGCACCACTCCATACATTGCTTCTCCGGTGTCCGATCTGTATCTTGCATCGACGTAGCAGCGTGGAGTCTCGCTGCCACTTGCTACGGTCATCACGGTAGGCGGCGGTGTGCATGCCGGTGGATGTGATCGCTGGTAGGCGTGCATGGCTGCCACCGCCCGCTGCCATGTCTGGTTCGGCCATGGTAGAGCATGCTCCCATACCGCAGCATTGCGGGCATTCCAAATACTGTATAGCACAGCTGCAGCTAGACCACATTGATCCTCTGTCAAGACATTAAAAATTTCCATAAGCCATGTTGATAACGAATGTGTAATTATATTGGTAACAGGCAACCCCGACATATTCCATATTAATTTTGAGTAATCACACAAGATTAACGCATGCATGGCATTTTCCTGCACCATTCGACACATTGGGCAAACCGGTTCAACCTCAACTCGTCTTATAATTAAATTATCTGTAGTAGGGAGGATATCACAAACTGCTCTCCACAAGAAGGTTTTCCATTTGGGTGGCACCTTCAGTTTCCACAAAGTAACCCATTTTACAAAAGCACCTGGGTTATGTTCATAATCTCCCTTAATTTGCCTATAGGCATTCTTAACTGAATATACCCCATTTTTCTCTCCCTTCCAATACCATGTGTCTTCATAATCTGGGCTAACAGGAATCATAGTAATACGAGCCACATCCTCAGGGATAAATAAATCTGCTAAAATATGAGGTCCCAGGTATTAGTTTGCTGGTCAATCAAACCTACTACATGGGCATCTCGTAATTCTTGTGGCATTATTGTTTGGACTAACGGACTGGGATTATCTGGTAGCCAGGGATGACCCCATATTAATGTTTTTGCGCCATTCCCAATTCGCCTTCTTACCCCCGAACAAACCATTCCATGTGCAGCCATTATACTTCTCCAGCAAAAACTCGGACAATTTCCTATAGTGGCGTCAATAAAAGAAGTATTAGGATAATACCTTGCCTTATATATTCTTGCTGCTAAAATACTGGGATTCGTAAGGAAACGCCATGCCTGTTTTCCCAGCATAGCCAAATTAAAAGCTCGTAGATCTTTAAATCCCAAACCCCCATACTTCTTGGGGATGCATAATTTATCCCAAGTTTTCCAATGTATCTTCCTTTCAGCACCAGTTCCCCACCAATACCCGCTATTCATGGTTCTCTCAATAGATGTGCAAACCATCTCAGGTAGCAAAAATACACTCATGGAAAAAGTTGGCATAGATTGGGCCACACTTTTCAAGAGTACCTCCTTACCAGCCTGAGTGAGCAACATTTTACTCCACGAACCAATTCTTTGTCTGATCTTGTCCTCCACATAGGAAAAAACAGCCCTCTTATTCCTGCCTACAAACGATGGTAAGCCCAACTACTTCCCAAAATTAGCAGCCTGGTTCACCCCAAGACACGCTGCCACCTCCCCCTTATTCCTTCATGAGTATTCCTGCTAAAACATATACTGGACTTATCGTAATTCACTTTCTGACCAGATAACCTTTCATACCGTTGCAATCACTGTCTGATTACACCTGCTTCTTCGATATTAACTTTGAAGAACAGCAGACTATCATCTGCGAAAAAAAGATGGGAAACTGGGGGTGCACCTCTTGCCACCCTACAACCATGTATAGCCCCCTCCATCTGCGCTTTCTGCAATAGCATGGAAAGTCCCTCTGCACATATAATAAACAAATAGGGAGATAGGGGATCCCCTTGTCTGAGCTCGCGGGTAGGTGTTACCTGTCCTCCAGCCATGCCATTCACCATTATCGTATAGTTTACAGTTGTGACACAGAGCATAATAAGTTTCACCCAGCGCTGATCAAACCCTATGGCACACAACATTTTCTGCAAAAAAGGCCATTCCATCCTGTCATACGCCTTTGACATGTCAAGCTTTAGGGCACTCCATCCTGTTAACCCATATTGCTTTCTATTCAAGTAATGACCCACCTCCGCTGCAACCAGGATATTATCCTTGATTAGGCGCCCTGGAATAAACGCACTTTGGGATTCTGAGATTAGTTCCCCCATAAGTGGTTTCATCCTATTTGTTATCATTTTGGCCATTACCCTGTATATAACATTACTGAGAGCAATCAGTCTCATATCCGCCACCGTTTCTGGCACATTTTTCTTGGGGATTAATACAATATTAGTATCATTTACGCCCTCAAGAAGATTGCATGAATTCAAACAGGTTGTTATAAACTCAGACACATCCCCCCCCCCCCCCCCCTACTACATCCCAGAAGTGCTGATAAAAGCCTGGATTCATTCCATTCGGCCCTGGTGCTTTGTCAGGATACATGGATTTAAGTGTTTCTTTCACATCTTCTAGTCCAAACGGACGCAATAAAGATTCATTTTGATCATGTGATATTCGTGGCATAAAATCATCAAATAAAGCATCATCACAAGCAGTATTCTCAGTTGCATAAATATCCCGAAAATAGTCTAGTATGACAGAGCACATATTATTCCCTTCCACCCATATGCCAGCATTATTCTTAATTCTACTCACAGTATTCTTTTGTTTACGAGCAGAAGCATACCTGTGGTAGAATCTCGTATTCGCATCTGCACCACGAAGCCAGTGCTACTTCGCTCGCTGTCTCCAGAATACATCCTCCTGCACTTCCAGCTGGGCTAAGAGTACATCGATCTGGTGAAACTCGGCTAGCGCAGCCGGGTCCCTCCTATTTCTGATAATCCCCTGCCTCTTTCTCAACTGCCCAATTCGCTCTCCAAATTTATGGAAGCCCCCACCGCCCCACCTCATCAACCTCTCCCCACACCGCTGCTGACAATTCAGCAACCCCTCAACCCTCCCACCCTGCCAGGCCGACACCACCACATCCCTACACCCCTCATCATGGAACCATGCCATCTCAAACCTAAAACCCCTCGCAATCCTTCCCCTACGCATGCATGGCACATCCATACTAAGGAAGAGAGCTGAGTGATCCAAGGGTCGAGCTATAATATTCTCCACCTCCACATTCTCATTCAGACCACACCAATCAGCCGTGGCTAACACCTTATCAAGCCTCTCCTCAATCCAGTTCTCCGTTCCTCTACTCTTCTCCCAGGTAAACTGATGGCCCCTCATAGGTAATTGCATTAGTCCACAACCATCTAGGGTCTCACCAAAGCCTCGTAGGAGATTATCCGGGTATGGATTCCCCCCTCTCTTCTCATACTGAAACAAGAGATTATTAAAATCCCCTATGACCACCCAAGGTAGCAAGGATCTAGTCTTCAAAGTATCCAATAACTCCCAGGACTCCCACCTCCTACTACGATCCGAATGTACATAGAAACATGTCATACGCCACTGCTTACCATTCTCGGCCCTTACCTCCACATCCACATGATTCTTAGAATAGCTCAACAAACTGGCCGTATTATTCCTCCTCCAGAACAGAGCAAGACCACCACTCAACCCGTCATTATCCAGATAAAATAATCCTTCATATCCAAGCGTGACACGGAGCCTTTCCGCATGTATCCGTGCCACCATGGTTTCCATTAAGAACACAAACTCAGGCTTCTTACGGGACACTATGTCCACCACCTGTCGAACTGTTCGTGGATTGCCCAAGCCACGACAGTTCCAACTTAGCGTACTCATGAGGACGGGCGGGGCTGAGAAACAGCTCCCGCCATACACAAGTTTTTTTACACATCATTCATTGCAACATCACCATCCTCCGAGTCAACATGCCCTTGCCTGCGGCGTTTCCCGGTTGCCACCACAACTCCACCACTCAGCAATACTCCCACCGAGGCTCCACCACCCCCCCCCCCCCCCCGGCTTCCCGTCGTTCTCCCCCCAACTCCCTCCACACTGCGCGGTTGGGTTACCGGCATCGGCAACGGCTTCCCTCCCACCGGGATTAGTCAACTCCCGCCTACCTCCCTCGCGGCGCTCCGACTGCCCCCTGCCCTCAAATCAGCCCCATACAGAAACCTTTCGACCAGAATGCGACTCTCCCGGGCCTTCAAACAAAAGGTATGAACATGTCCCATGAGTCCACAATAGAAACAGAATTTGTGGAGCCGTTCATACCTAAAAGATACCCAACACGTAGTCTTGTCTCTTTTAACCAGCTTCATGCATCTCCTCAATGGTTTGTCCACCGCAATCGAGACTCGAATACGATAGAATGTTAACCAGGGGGCACCAACAAATCTATCATCATGCTTAACGAACGTACCAATGAAATTACCTGCCTGCTCAAGAACTTTCTGCGACGTGTAACCCATTGGTAATTCATGCAATTGAACCCACATATCAATAGTATCAAGTGGAACATCACACGGATTCACCCCGCCCCCCCCCCCCCCCCCCCCCCCCCACAACTTCTCGACAAACAAGGGTGTTATTTTCAAAAGCCCACAGTCCCCCATCCAAGACATACTCGACATCCGTTTTGTGATAGAACACAAAAAGGAATAACCCTGGTTGAATCTCGGTTACCTGAACACCCTTGACCGGCTGCCATACGGATGCCATCACCTGCCGCATATATTCAAGCTTAACCATCTTCGCCATGAGGAACCGCCCCACGACTGCCCAAGAAGCCTCCCCGTCGACCACCACCTCCCCTACGCACTCACCGTCCGGCACGAACTCCAACCCTTCCTCCTCCAAAGCCATTCAGCCCAACTCGCCGTCAGCCGCTCAACTGCCTCAGCCGACTGCGCTGCTGCTGCCATCTCGCTGCTTTACTCGTCCATCCCGTCGAAAAAGAACCGGCAATTACCGGATGGAGAAGCAAAAAGAAACCGGCGAAACCCTAGAAACCCTAGAGAATAAGGTAAAACCCTAGGACTCCTAGAGAGAGAAATCATTTGACCAAGTAATTGATAACCCATAAATGCAAAATCCTGGAGACCACAATCATTCACTGCCTCTTGAAAACCCGTGATTAGCCATTCCCGATGGATAACTCTCCCTCTCTTCTCGGATTGATGTAGTAGGTCGTTGAAATCACCCATCACCCACCACGGGATATTACTTAAACCAGCAAGTGTACGAAGCAAGTTCCATGAATCTCGCCTAAGTTGCCTTTCCGGATACCCATAAAATCCTGTAAACCGCCACTCCAGACTGCCAACATCCAACACAATTGTAGTATCAATATGATTTTGTGAAAAACTAGTCACCTCCACCTCTATATTAGCAACCCATAGCAGGGCCAAACCACCTCTATGTCCTTGGGCATCTACTACCAAAATACTACTGAACCCCAATTGTCTACGAATCGATTCCATTCTCTGATGTGTAAGAAATGTTTCCATCAAAAACAACACACTTGGCATCTTAGAGCGGATCAAGTCCGCTAACACACGAACTGCCGTTGGGTTGCCAAGGCCCCGGCAATTCCACATTAAAACCCTCATGATTCTTGGCGGGTTTGTAGAGCCAAACCCGCCTTTAACCTATTTTTTGGATTAGTCGCTTCATAATCTCTTTTTCTTTTCAACTGATACCCCTTCACGAGTCGAAATACCAGAAGTAGAAACATCCAATTCTGTAACTTCTTTTCCTTTCTGAGTCTGGACATCCCTATCAGATTCACGGTTACCAGTCTTATTAACATCACGCGCTACAAAACCTTCATAAGCAGGAGCTGTCCAATTCTGTCTGTCAACTTTGGTAGCCGGCGTAATCCATCGATGCCCAGCAGAAGGAGCAACCCTTCTAAACCCCGCCCTTAGCGAAGGTCCATATGGTTTGTCCACACTTAGATTAGTGCCACGAAACACTTTATGCAATACTTCTCCCCATGGCCAAGAAAGCCACAAAGGAAGCAGAAGGTTGGGAGGTGCTCATAACGAAAATCAATCACTGCCCAGGCCCTATCATCTTTTTTAAGTTTCATATGTTTCTTGAGAGGTTTTGCAACATTGATCGCAACACGAACACGATAAAACAAACGCATGGATCCATCGAAGTTCCTGTCATCGGATTGAACAAAACTACCCAGAACGAGCCAATAGCTGAGACTACGGCCTCTGATCGGAAGCCCGCTGGAAGATTATAGATCTGCACCCAAAAATCTGCCTGATGGAGAGTAACCTCCTCCGGATCCTCATTCGGTTGAAGTTTGTGCATCACCAATAAACTCTGCTCAAAGCTCTAAGGATCGTCGTTCAATATCCTCGTAATGTCAGCATCATGATAGAACCGGATCAGAAACCTGTGTGATTGCAGTTGACGCATGGTGACCCCCAAACCAGGACGCCAAACTCCAGCCATGATGTCCTGAAAGAATTGGAACTTTATAGGCTTATCAATGACAACCCGGCAAAGGAGCATAGAACTCATCATCATTATCAGCGTAGTGACAACCCAAAATTTATTTTCTTAAATTCTATTTTATAAAATCCCAAAATAATTATTTTTAATCCTTTGAAAGTTTTTCTTAGATAGGTGTATGAATTAAATATTTTAAATCATAATTTTTATTAATTGAACAAGTAGTAGCCTATTTCGAAAATCCTAAGTATTAGGTATATCTATGTATCAAGTTTTGACCCAAAAAGTCAATCTGAGTGAAACCTGAGAGAAGCTGTGAAACTGATAAACTAGTTTTGACCCAATCTTGACTTCAAAATAAACCCAATAGTATTTCATTAGCCAAATTCCTGTAATCTTAAATCCGTAACCCATGTCTTCTACCCTAAAATATTATATTTACATTTTTACCCTCAAGCCCTAGCTACATAAAGCTACTAGTCTACACTTGTTCATTATTCATTCTTCATCAGGCAGCTCATCAATCTCTCTCGTGTCTCTCTCTCCCTCTCTCTATCATCCTCATCTTCTTCATTTTAGAGACTCTTCTAGCAAGCTTAGGGTTCAAGATTTGGTAAGCTTCCTCCTCTCTTTCTCCATTCCATCCTCAAGTTAAGTTACTAAGAAGATATATTTATGTGGGTGACTTGTTGTGTTTTTGAGTTGAAATGATGAAGTGGTTGCTATGCTTTGGTTGGGAGAAGGAAGATGAAGGGTGTGGAAGAAAAGCTTAGGAATGGATTTGGCTGCTAGAACAAGATTGCTCAAGGTATAGCCCATGGATTCTCAAATCTATTATTTTGCCCTAAGTTATGTGATATAGTTGTTCATGTGTGTATATATTGGGTATTTAGAATGATGAAATGTATGTTATTTGTTGATGTTATGCTATGTGATTTTGTGGGATTTGAGAATCTGTTATGTGGTGTTAAAGGAAGGAGATGGCCAGAGGGCAGCAGGAGCCACGGACCTTAGTAACGGAACTACACGAGTTTTGTCACTAAGATCCATGATGGCTCATTAGTTCAGGTTTTACCTGTTTGAGTGAAAAGTTGTGAGGTCAAATCCTTTGACCAACATTTGCATATAGTTTTGTTCATATGCTTGTATGCTTTGAAAAATTGTTTAAAGTAAGATTTAAACCCCTAATTTCATATTTAATAATTAAAATTCCTTCCATTTAAGAAACTTTAATCTTTGTAAAATTATCTGGGATTATATAAAATATTATTTGGGTTTGAAGGGTTATTTATGTTTAAAAGTATATCTATATAGAAAACCATAAATATTTTGGGAAAGGGTTTAAACTATTAAAACCTATGACTCACCAAGGAGACCCTATTTCAAAATTTTATAGATATTTGAAGTTTATTCATGATTGTCTGGAAGAGTATTGATGGTATCTGAGTTCTAGAAATGGAGATTTAATCATCTGGTGTGTCTAAGAAGTTCTCAGTCTGATACCCATGTTTGGCCATGTGGGCCTTGCCAACGGACCCTAGGGGGCTCCGTTGGTACCGTTAATCAACGGACCAGAGTGGCGGTCCTAGGCAGGAACCGCCACTCTAAGCCATAGCTTGGTGGAGCCAAGTGGCGGGACTTCTCAAGGCCCGCCACCAAGCTCCGCTAGGCCAAGATGAGGAGAGGCTGGGCCTTTGAGGCTCAGATATGTGTTGTTTCTGACCGAGATTCATGGGCCCATGAAGCTCGGACACTCGGGCTCGTAACGACACGCTAGTGTGAGTTGTATTTGTATGATTTTTTAGTAGAAACATGTTATCCAGACAAAGTATGAGATTTAGTCCCTAAGATTTGATTGAATGTTGAGTTCAAAATTATGAAGTATTATGTTCGGCATCTGTTTTCAAAGTCATTTGATTAAATGTGCTAATTGCATTGCTTAGCTCATGAATAGAAGAATTGATGAGATTATTGAGATTTCTTGCATAAGTCACTGTTTTCCAAACTTTGCATTGAAAAGTCTATTTTGCCACTTTTAAAGATTATTGCAAAGGCTTAAAGTGAAGCCCTAAGCTATTTTCAAACCCCTATATCTATTTTGGAAAATCTATATATATATGCATTGAGAAGCTTGCATGATAATTAGATTTTCAATATGAGAAAGAGAAGTTATATGAGATATATATTTGTGCATTGAGAAGCTTGCATGACACCTATATTACTAGCATGAGAAAATAAGTTGCATGTGATATATATGCTATTTATATAAAGTGAGAAAAATCTATGTTTTGGAGGCTTCCGTTAGGACTATGTCCTTTCGGATGAACAGAGAAAAGATCGGCAAAGTCACCGACAAAACAGAGAAAGAAAGAAGTTATGAGAAAGAGAAAGAAACGGTCGCATATGTCTTATCATGAGTATATAAGAAGTGAAGTATCATTCATTGCTTGAGTATTAGCATGAAAGCATGACCTTATCTGTTAGCGTCAGTTGATTTCAATATCTATCTTGAAAGTATCAGTATGATTGTAAGAAGTGCTAGTAGCTTTATAGAAGATTTGTATCTACTGTCAGTATAAGTATGTGCAAAAGTATGAGTTATGAGTTAATGCATGTTGATATGAGAATATAGGTTGTTGAGCATATAGAAGTATATAAGTATATCTATATAAGTTGTCATTTTGGGGGCTACTCAGTAGTCAGTACTCACTCATCAAATTAAAACAACTTATTAACTTTTAACAAATACACATAGGATAGAGCCTAGAGCACCAAAAATTGACTCTCTTCAGTGCAAAGAGGAAACAAAACTGGCAGACATCTTGAAAATCCTGGCCACAGTAATCTCACCACAAAGAATTCTTCATCACCAGTGATAATAGACAACTCCAAGCCCATTAAAACTCCAATCACAGAATAAACACCAAATTCCATAACTATCAAAACTTCATCAGTAAACAAACAACCTGGTACATTGAGTCAAAACCTACAAATTGTACAAGTTATGATATACAGAACCAAGGTCCACTTAACATAGCAGGAAAAGCAAAAACTGTTGCCATAAACACAAATACCAGCTTTCATTTATCTACAAACATAGCAGGAAAGGGAAAAAAACTTCACACAGTGCAGTGATCTTGCAAAACTTGCCTAGCAAGGTCAAATGCCCCACTTGCCTTGTAAATTAGGTGAAGATTGTAAGCTGCTTCTCTGCGAAGGTCACAATGACGAGGCTTTTGGATTTGGACACACTGATTTTCATATGGAAAGCTTGGAATTGGGCAATCCTTTTCCATCGTAGTTAACACCTTCTCATAATATGAAGCTGCAAGAGATACAAGGCCAACCTGTTGATATGCTCGAGCCATGTTGTACAAGGCTTCTTGGCTATTTCCACAAAGCCGCAAATTGTTGTATAAAAATGCCAAGCCTTGTAGCACACATTGATGCTTATTCTTCAACCTGATATCAAAGGCTAAGTTAATCAGTGCAGTGCCTATGCAAAGATTAATTAAAGGGCAATTTGGTCGAAGTTTGTAAACTTCCAGGTATTCCCTAGCTGCTACTTGATACTGGCCGATTTCACAAAATTGATGCCCTGCAATGATGATAGGTGGGATACAATCTTTCTGTTGATAGCGAGCATGTAGTAGAAATCTATTGTTTGTAGAAGGAGCAATCTCTAGCTTTGATAGTGCTTTATAGTAGTAACTCCATGCTGCCATTTTTGAAGGATGCTGATGAAGGAAGTGCCTCAGAAAGCTGCAACCACGCTTTGTATCTTGGATTTTACATGCCAATTGAGCGCCAAGAGTTGTAATACTATCCCTCCTTTCATTAGATAATATATCAGAAGCAAACCTAAGAGTCAGCTCACAAACATCAAATGCTTCATCGTATCTCCCTAAAGATGCCAGAGCTTTGGTCAAGTCCACAAAGAGTTGATGATTCTCCTCATCTTTTAGGAGTTTAGGTGTGGGAGGTTTCTTTTTGTGCAGTGATACCCGAAATTCATCGTCTGAATCTTCACTCTTCCAATCCAGACCAGCTGCTAAAGTTTTTGTTTTCTTTTCTTCCTTCATTTCAGATCTCCGTTGAAGGACCCTCTTTGCTCTGGAAGCCTTTCTTCTGTCAGTTACATTAGCCACAGGTTTAAATCCTTGCAATGGATTGTCAGTCTGATCACTGTCTAACACTTTGGCTCTTTCAAGAAGAACTCTCTTTGGAAGCTTCTTACCTACCTTTTTTGGACCTTCAGAGGTTAATGACCGATAAACCAAGGGATAGAATGTATCAACAAATTCTTGAATCATATCTTTATCTCGGTAGATGTTGGCAAGCCTGAGTTGCACTTTCTCTTCATGCCACCATTTTTCATGTATATTACAAACAGTTTGCAACCCTAACTCTGAATTTGGAGGAGAAAGGAACGATATTGCTTCTTTATCTTTCTCTTTCTCAAGAAGAAGGGAAGCTAAGGTCAGCCGAGTCTCAACACTGTTTTCAAGTAATGGTATAGCTTTGCAGAAGAATGTAATTGCTTCGTCCATTTTTCTCAATGATAAGTAACATTCAGCAATTTTCAAATTCAGAGTTCCACTGGTAGGTCCCAACTTCCTTTCCAACATCAGGTAGTAATGTAAAGCAGATTCATAATGCTCAAGTTTTTTAAATGTGTCCGCAATTTCAATGATTGACTCAGTAAAATCATTTGCATTCTCTAAATGGAATGCCCCAAAAAGAGCTTTTGCATTATCTAAATCTCCAAGATGAAGGTAGCAAATTCCTGCCTTAGCTGTTAGATCAAACGACAATTCTGTTCCTGAACAATCTTTTCTAATATGTTGAAGAGCTCTAGAGTATTCACCATTTTCAATGCATATGCTAATTAGCATTGAAATGATTCTTGGATCACCACCAGTTGGGTAGTGGCTAAGATAATTCTCCAAAGAAACTAGTGAACATTCAACTTTACCACACTGCTTATACAACTCTGCTGCTGATATGCAAGCATCAGAATTATCGGGACAAAGCTGATGAATTTGTTCATATAACTTGGCAGCTTTCTCATGCTCTTCAAGTTCTGTATAATGTGATGCTCCGAGGAATTTAAGTGTAATATCTTCAGGGTCAGCGGCTATTGCCTTGGGAAGGTAATAATTAACAGCAGCAGAATTCCCTTGATCTAGAAACCATGAAAGAAGCGACTTCCACAGAGATGTTTCCTTTGTCCTAGTTACACTTTTAGTGGCAAGCATGTAGGCATAAAGAGCCCTTTTCTTATCACCCTTTGCATTGTAAACAAGGCCGAGTGTATGATATGCATCATGCGTAGGATTTCGCCTGATACATTCACACAGCAATTTTACAGCCCTTTCATAATCCTCGGTTGCATAACACAGTGTGGCCTCCCCTAACAATTTCTTGGCTACAGGGTCCCCGTTACCTCTAGACCCTTTTGGCCTTCCTCTTCTTTTTCTTCTTCTCCTCCTTGATTTCCTTTTACTTCCATAATCCATGGCTTCCATAATTTCATCAAAACTAGCACCTAGCACCTCTGTCTCCTTCTGTTTTTTTGAAGGCCCTTCATTTTGGTGAGCTGCTACTGCTTTTCTCTTTTTCTCAGCGAGTGCTTCATAATTAGCATCATCCTCCAGGAAACTAAAAGGTGTTATCTCTTCTTCTGACACTTCTTCTTCTTCTTCACTTTCACCACTATACCCATCATCACACTCATCATCTGACCCGGTTGCTCCTTCACTGCCATCTAACTCCACATCTTTTTCAGAACCTGCATTTGACACAAACTTTCCACCGTCTTCAGAAGAACCAACTTTGTTTGTTTCTTCACCCATTGCCTTTAATCCACAAGGTACATATATGCACTTGACTCAAAAATATGTATACAAATCCACAGAATTGCTTCCACCTGCAAATCTGTAGCACTTTCTTCAGCCAGGAAACAATTGAACCGTTTACATCATGTAATCAAGTAGTAAAAATAATATGATCACAGATGTTTAAAGTGCATGTGGGGCATATCTACAGACAGCAATTTTACCTAAAGTAACAATTTTAGACCCCAAAAAAAAAAAAAAAACAAAAACAAAAACAAAAACAAACAAACAAGTGCACACACACAAATTAGCAACAATTAGAAGTAACTGCATTTAGTTACAATAGCAGAAATTTCATATTTACCCCAAGATTATATACTTTCCACTTTCTTGATACACATACCTATAGAGAACTATACAAGCACATATATGCATCAACAGGGACAGAGCCAGAATTTCCTTCGAGTGGAGGCGAAGAAGCGAAGGTAAAATGAAAAAAAAAAAAAAAAAAAAAAAAAAAAAAAAAAAATCTTTGAGTGGAGCCGTTTCTACAATTTTTTGAGCTAATTCATCAATACCGAGAAAAAAAATGCTTGGATGACAACTTGACTGGCTTGCCAAAATGTTTTACTGCTCGGGACCAATGCCAGTCACAGTTTAAACCGAAAACTCTGTTTCTCACTAAACTATATACAACAATTAAAATCACACACAACCAATGCATTTTAGTAATACTATAAGCCTATAACTATATGGGAAAAACTTGCCTGTAATGTATCTAAAGCCTGGGATAAAATTTGCAAACATCATGCAAAAAAAGCAACTCAACCATGAACACTTAGCCCACAATCCTCTACATGATAGTTAAAAGCCACAAAACTTTTGTTCTAAAAATTGCAAATTCACAAAGCAGTTTTACTAGAACATGAAAATGCAAATAAGGCAATTGTAATGAATTTCAACAAAACCAAAAAAATAACGAATTTAGCATATTACTATTTGCAATTTAGAAACGCATTTTTACTCAGTTAAAATTCCACAAGAAATTTAATGACCACAATAGAAACAAATCCCATGCGCATATATAAATCCGAAAGCATCAGATGTTCAATGATTGAGACGAATTTTGGGAAAAATCCAGAAAAGCTAAAGTAATTAGGGAAAAATTCAAATTAGGGCAAATGAACTGATTTACAGATGTAACAGATCCAAGGGATTAGGGACGGACCGCGGACGGACGAAGAACTGAAGAAGACTACCGAGCTGCTGCCTGCTATGTTGTTCTTCTTCCCAGGGAAGGACGGAGCTGACGGAGCTGACGGAGCTGACGGAGCTGACGGAGATGCCGACTGCTGTCCACCCAGAACGGCCAGAGGTCGGCGGTGGCGACTTGCGACTTGCGACTTGCGACTTGCGACTTGCGACTTGCGATTTGCGAAGCAGAGCCGCAGAGGAGAGACCGAGAAGCAGAGCCGCTAAGTTGGGGCGTGGTCTACTGGTTTAGGAACAAATGAATTAAAAAAGGCACTTTTTCCAGCCCTTTTTTCTCATCAATTATTCGGTTAAGTACATTAGCCCCTCAATTATTCTAAAAGTGACGATTTTTTTCTGATAAATTAAATTGACATTTCTATCTTTAAATAAATATTTTATTTATTTTTTTCTCCAACAAATTATTGCGTATACGTAGAGATGACCACGGTTTGGTTCGAACTGAATCGACCACTATAGCAATCGAATTAAAAGTTTTCGGTTATGATTCAGATCCAGAACTCAATATTTGGATTTCAGTTTATTAAAATTATGAATCGAAAAAATTAGATCCTGAACCATGAACCGGCGGTTTCAGATCCGGATCGCGATTTTGAATCGTCTTTATTTTAAAATTTTAATTTTTATTTAAAATAGTCTAAATTCAACAATAAATGTATTTTATTTTTTTCAGTTCGGAACATGAATTGCCGTTTCTTGTTCGCGATTTTAATAAACTATAAATATCGAGTTTCGATTATAAATTGTAATTGGTAGATTTCGGGTTGGTTGTTATAGTGTCTGTTTGGTTTGAATCAAATTGTGGTCATAATTTGTTGGAGAAGAAAAATAAATGAAATATTTATTTTAAAGGTAAATATGTCCATTTAACATTCCAGGGGGGAAAACAACCACTTAAATAATTCAGGGGGAGAAAAGTGCTATAAGTATATAACTCGGGGAGAAAAGTGCTATTTTCCATTATATATATATATATATATATATATATATATATATATATATATATATATATATGCGAGTTCAGGTGCGGCGGTGTCTTACGGTGCGACATCACCAATAGTTCAACAAATATACACCATCAACGTTAGAAAAATACACCACAAAAAACAGAGGAAAATTAGGTACGCATCATCAAACACACACCATTAGGTGTGAGTAAAAACACCACACACTGTTCGGAAAATACACCATTGGGGGTGGTGAGTTATATGGTGCATTTTTTTGGGTCTGTTGTGTATTTTTTGATGTTTTTTGGCATTTCATTGTGGTGTGTTTTCCTTACACTGTTGGTGCATATTGTTAACACTGTTGGTGTATTCTGGAATTCCGCCGCACCACCGCACGGGAAGACCCCGCCACATTTGAACTTTCTTTTATATTTATATATATATATATATATATATATATATATATATATATATATATATATATATATATATCATCATCATCTATTATAATAAAGTAAAAACTTTAGGTTCTCGCCCAAGCAAAACACAGCGTTTTACACAGGAGGACGCAATTAATTGCGCAGTTATTCCTATATTTAAGCCCAATATAGAGCCTTTTCGGATTTGTCTTCTAATTGCACAGTTATTCCTACAATTAATAATGTTTGAAACCTTTTGTTAGTGAACGAAAGGGCAGAAATCAGATCTAAAGTCCTATATATACATCACATCCTCTTCAATACAAACACTAACAAGTCTCAATATTCAATACAAACTCTGCCAAGATTAAAGCCCTGCGTATATTGAAGAACGATGTTCATTCTTGCCACCCAGATTTCTCCAATGAACACCTGATAGAAAAGCTTCATCGCACATCAAATCTAAAGAGGTCATTTCGTGTCCAGGAAGTAAGTTTTATGAATAAATACTATTCTACTATTTCGATATTAAATCGTATACTATATCTCATGATGCATAATCGTATTCCAAGCATTCCAATTTCTAAGATGTACGCCTCCAAAAACTTTCCCTTACTATTTTGGTATTAAATCGTATTCCACAATTGTTCTATTGTTTTATGCATATTGCCAAGCTTGAGGAAGGGGTTGATTTGTAAAGAGTGAAATCAATAGTTCACTGATCTGTTATGCATCAAGAGGTGAGTTGAAGCTAAAGGTCTACTCTATTGTAGTAAGTGTGAAAAAAGTGACAGAATGGAGCAATAAGGCATAAGCTACTATTAGAATGGTGGATAAAATAGGAGATGCTCCCTTCCTACTATGGGATAGGGAGTGTGCTGAATTGGTAGGTGTTTCAGTAAGCTTACTATTAGATAAGTATCAATTGGTAAATTCCAATGGAATTAACCAATATTACACATTACATCAGTTAAGTATCAATTGATAAACTCCAATGGAATTAACCAATAGTACACATTACATCTGCAGTTCCTACTTTTATGTTTTTATTTAATGTGTCATCTTTTCATCCTTTACATCTGCTGAATCCCAAGCTAGCAGAGTTTGCAAATTCAGACAATGTGAAAAGATGCATTCTATTGCGGGTTCTCTTCATCTAACAAAAATAAGAAGTCAAAGAATGTGACTGTGAAACAAGAGAAAATTTAAAGTTTGTTTCTATGTGATGGACAAAGTGATTGAATTGTAATGTTGTTTTTCACTAATTTTGGACCTATTTAATTGGTAGTGTTCCAGTGCTATCAATTTGACTCTCGGAGAACTTTATAACAAATCACCTATTATTAACAATCCCAACAAAAGAAAAAATTACCCTTTACATTATAGAAAAAAACATAAAATAAGTCAACATAAAAAAACTAAGCAGATCTTAGCCAAACTAATAAATAAAATGCAGTGAAAAAAAAATAGTTATGTCAGAAAGAAAAAAAAAAGTTATTTCAACAAGAACAAGAGAACTACACACATTTAAAAACTAAGCAGATTACCTCTAATAAACAAAACAAAAAAATAGTTATACATGATTTCAAGTATCATTTTTTGAACTAAGTTTTTTTTTTTAAAAAAAAAGGTGTGTTAGAAAGAAAAAAAAATTTGATTTCAGCCAGAACAAAAAAAAAAAAAAAAAAAAAAAAAAAGAGAGAGAGAATAATGGGGTGTTGAAATCATGCATTTCCCAGGATCTAATGACAAACTAAGACAAGCAGCAGACTACTATGTTGTCTGCATGGAGTAGTTTTAACAGAGCTGACATTGTTAGAGGATTGTGCAAACTTACCGAATGGTTCGGGGAAAGTTAAGCGTCTGCGCAGACCATCAATCCTAGCAGGAATTATGGAAGCCAGACCCAAGTATGGGTTTGCACATCCATCAAACACCTTAACCTCAAAGTCCGATTTGGGGATTTTTGAATCCCAAATCTTTATTGTTATTTACCCATATTCTGCAAAACTGCACAGTAAGAAGACATTAATGCTAAATAATATCTGAATTTGTAGCAAAAACATCTAAGATTAGGAAGTAGAACTCTTTCGAAGCACACAGAAAAACATAAATATAGGCTATATGAAAATACCCTTCTAGATCATTCGAGGTTGAATCGATTGATATTTCTCTGTGAATTGTGCATCAAAGATAAAAAAAAAAAGATAAAAAAAAACAGCTTCGATAAAACTTCAGATTGTAGCCGTTTTAGCGAGGGAGTTCTAGACCTAGCTAAGAGTCGAGATACAGACGCATCTGGAAGGGAGTGGGGTGGAGTTGCGAAGATTCTCGAACTAGCAAAATGGAAAGCGCAGTGGCGAAGATTCTCGTGTGAAGCTTTGGAAATGGATGGATGGATGGATTAGAGTGAAGACAGAGATGGGAAAGGGGTTGAACGCGTGAACGCCATACTATTATTATTATTATTATTATTATTATTATTATTATTATTATTATTATTATTATTATTATTATTATTATTATTATTAATTAATTAATTAATTAATTTATTATTATTATTATTATTATTATTATTATTATTATTGTTGTTGTTGTTATTATTATTATATTTATTATATTTGGTAATATAAATCTGAAAATGTGAATGTAAAATTTTTGTGCATAAATCTGAAGAAAGTATGCCGTTCTGCTAATTGTTTCATCTTCTTAACTATTATGCTTCACTCGGATGACCACAACTCGGAGGTATTAACTCTTTTGTTTTGTTTAGTCCATGTACTTTAAAAAGTAAAACAATTAAGGACAAAAACTATCAAAGTTTGTTATGGCATGTTGGGGAATTTGGTGTAGTAGGAATGAGAATGTTTAGCAGTGGGTTGTTTTCGATATGCATGTAATGTTGCACAGAGCAATCACCTACTGGCAAAACTATGTTCATGCTAATACTAAGGACAATGCAGGTGACTCGCCCACTGGAGTTCAACACTGGACCCGACCGGATTATGGGAGGCTAAAGCTCAACACAAATGCCTCCTTGGATCATTTGAATAATAGGATGGGATTAGGGTGGGTTTTGCGAGATCATGATGGAGTTTTCTTGGCAGCAAAAAATGTGAGGTTGAACGGGACCTATACCGTTAATGAAGCCGAGGCCATCAGTGTAAGGGAAGCTCTGAGCTGGCTTAAGGATACAGGTCTGGGCAATGTTGATGTGAAAATGGACTCCCAAACAATTTTTTATTCTCTTTCAGCTTCCTCTTTTATTTCTACTTTCGGTCTATTAGTTGACGATGTAAAAGAATTGGCATCCATGGTTGATGATGTTCAATTCCATTTTATTAGACGAATTGCGAATTGTGTCGCTCACACTGTTGCTAGGGCGGCCTTTTCCGAGTCAGATCATGGGGAATGGTTTGATACCCCTTCTGCTTTCCTTGTAAACTGTCTTTCTTGTGATTTAATGCATTTAGTCTTTGCTTTCAAAAACAATTAAGGACAATGATGATGTGGTGTTAACATCAGCTCTGTCATATCATCATACTCAATGACAACTCATATATTATTTTATAAATGTTTAAAATTAATTATTTTTGTCAACAATATATTACATTAATTAATATGTTCAAAATTAAGACATATATCCATGCTCAGGTTCAAATTTTCAACCTCTTGCATAGAGACTACCACTTTACCAAACTCTTATCTTATTTCATTGTAAAAAATGACTAAATACCATTATATAATGAGATTTGTAGAATATTTTAATTGTATTAAGAAGTTTAATATAAAAATTAATATACTGATACAAAAAATAATTTAATTTATATTGATGAAAAATAAAAATGAAGTTTAAATATTAATATTTTAATTTATTCAGATTTTTTTAACAAATAAAATTTTTAAATTTATCTAAAAAATATAATAAGTCTCGATTAATGTTAAATTCTTGATTTATGTCCATCTTTTTGTATGTTAATAAAGGTATACATTTTACTTTAAATGTTGTACACTTCAATGTTATTTGACAAAATTGTCTCCTACTATATTTTTGAAAGACAAAATCACAAAACTACCCTTACACCGTTATAACTCCATTACTTTTTAATTCTAACATTGATGACTCCATCATTATTACCATACACATATATCTATCATATATTTTTCCTATTCTTTAATTATCATTTAATTAAAATCATTATATAATTAATTTAATTTTTTTTGAAGATGAAAAATTAATGCATTAAATCATTAGCAAGACAGTTTACAATAAAAAAAAAGGGGGAATATCAAACCATTCCCCGCAACCTGACACAGAAAAGGCCTCCCTAGCAACAGCATGGGCGGCACAGTTCGCAGATCGCTTAACAAAACGGAATTCGACATCGCCAATCGCTGATGTCAATTCTTTAATATCATCCACTAGAAAACCAAAAGATGGACTAAAAGAAGGAGAAAAAATCGCATGAAAAACAGTTTGGGAGTCCATCTCTACTTCAACAATACTCATACCAGTATCCTTGAGCCAGCTTAAAGCCTCCCTCAAACTAATAGCTTCAGCCTCTTTAACAGAAAAAGTACCAGTCATACGCATATTTTTCGCAACCATAAATTTGCTTTGATCATCACATAAGACCCATCCTAATCCCATTGCATTATTAGCTGAATTCATTGCTGCATCTGTATTCAATTTTAGACTCCCTTGTTGAGGCTTATTCCAATGAGATGTGTTCACCGAACTAATGGTAGTGAATGGTATGGTGTTTGCATGTTTCCAATTATCCCAGAATTGCAAAGTCCTACGTAACATCACATGCAAGTCAAAGTTAATCCCCTTCCAAACACTCTCATTTCGGCTAGTCCAAATACCCCAACAAATCATCAAATCATAATAAACTTAGCAACCAAATCTCCATTCAATATCTTTAAATAATCAAAAAACCAGTCAATCACATTATTACCAAGAGCATGGTTAGCATTCGGCAATCCCACCAGATTCCAGATCCTCCCGGCCTCAGAACATGTTGCAAAAATATGATAGGCACTCTCATTTTCTCTCCTGCGCATATGGCAAACCAGTGAGCAATGAATATGTTTCGACTGTAGGGCATCTCTGGTAGGCAAACAAGAAGAAGCCAATTGCCAACAAAAATGTTTTACTTTTGGAGGTACATCTAGGTTCCAAATTTTAGACCAAGGACAATCATCATTCATGACTTCAGTTAAACGTTTGTAGCATGACTTAACTGTGTACTCGCCTTTCTGGTCCCAATACCAGAACCATGAATCTTGCGGTTTACGAAGACTAATAGGGATGTTCAAGATCAAACCAATATCACGCTGGTCAAAAAGATTGGTAATACGATGTACATTCCATCCCGTACCTTGGTCATTTAGTAACGTAGCACCCGGAGCCGCATGAACATCCGGTGGCATGTGCGTTTGGACATACGGGTCCTCATCATCTGGCAGCCAAGCATGATGACCAATTCTAGTGCCAAGGCCATTCCAAATACTTCTTCTGCAACCATTTCGTAAGATAGATTGTACCTCAAGCAAGCCCCTCCAAATAAAAGAAGGGTTTCCACTCGCAGAAGCTTCAAAAAATGTACATTTGGAATAGTATCGTGCCTTATAAACCCTGGCGACTAATGATGTGGGTTTGGTGATTAGGCGCCAAGCTTGCTTTCCAAGTAGTGCAAGATCCATTTCATGTAACTTTCGAAAACCCAATCCCCCTGCATTCTTTGGAGCCGACAGACCGCTCCATGATTTCCATCGCATTCCTTTGCCTGTGCCCACTGAGCCAGTCCACCAGTAGTCATTCATAATGGTCTCAATGTCCTTACAGAGGCCCCGGGGTAAAAGAAACACCATCATTGCAACGATGGCATTGCTTGGATAACATTCTTCAAAAGAACCTCACGCCTTGCACGCGATAGAAATTTTGCATTCCAGCTCCTTACCTTTGCCAGAATCCGGTCTTTCAAGAACCCTAGAATTTCTTTCTTCATTTTTCCAACAAGAGAGGGGAGACCCAAGTATTTACCCATAGTATCACCTGCAGTCACCCCAAGAATTCTGGTAACCTCATCATAGACCGGTTGTGTCACATTGATGCTAAAGCATGCTGCTGATTTTCCATAATTAATCCTCTGGCCTGAGGCCTTCGAATATGTATCAAGAACATACCTCATTTGTTCACTTTCTTGGATATTGGTTCGTAAGAAGAGAAAACAGTCGTCTGCAAAGAGTAAGTGTGATCTTGGCGGTGCATCCCTAGCAACACGAACCCCATGCAGTGTGCCCAATCTCATCTATTTTTCAATTAAGACACTAAGCCCTTCAGCAATGAATAAGAATAGATATGGTGAAAGGGGTCACCTTGGCGTAGGCCTATCCCGGGAGTGATGGGACCAATTTGGCGCTGCTCATACAAAATATGGTATTGAACGGACTTAACTGTCTCCAAGAGGATATCGACCCTTCGTTTCTGGAAACCCGTCTTAGCTAGCACTGCTTCCAGAAAACCCCATTCAACTCGGTCGTATGCTTTGCTCATATCAACCTTCAATTCCACCACACCCTCCTTTCCCTGAGTTTTTCGTTTTAGGTAGTGATGTATTTCATAAGCTAGCATAATATTATCTGAGATTAACCGACCGAGTACAAACGCACTTTGGGCTCCCGAAATTAGCCCTTTAAGAAGGGGTTTCAATCTATTGGCACATACTTTTGCTGCAACTTTATACAAAACATTGCATAAAGCTATCGGTCGCAAGTCCGACATGGATTCCGGGTTAGTTTTCTTTGGGATGAGAACTATAAAGGTATTATTCGCTCTTGCTGGCAACTTTGTCGTCTGAATGAAACTTCGGCAGAATAATGTAACTTCACCTCCAACTATGTCCCAAAAATGCAAGAAAAACCCCGGTCCCAAACCATTAGGACCCCGAGACTTATCAAGGTGCATTTGGAACACAGCAGCACGCACTTCTTCACCACTAATTGGACGCAACAAATTAGCATTATCCACATGAGTGATCTTGGTAACTATATTGTCAATTATCTCCGACATTTCTCCACCATCTACACAAAACAAATTTTCAAAATAGTTCTACATTACATGTCTAATTGTCGCCTCCCCTTCAACCCAATAACCGTCATCATTTTTTAGTTTGTGCACCTTATTCCGCCGTTGCCTGGACTTTAGCGAATTATGGAAAATTTTGCTATTTAAGTCGCCCCCTTTATACCAGTGTTCTTTTGCCCGTTGTTTCCAAAAGACATGTTGTTGCTCGAGTAGATAAATCAAATCTCTTTCAGTTTTGGAATATTCAGACATCCCAACATCATCACGTCGAGTATATAATTAATTTAATTGTAATAAAATTTCTATGAATGGTAAATCATATATGTGTGTGTGTATAAAATACATACATTATTTGTGTATATAATTTGAATTATAATTTTTAATTATTTAAATTTATTAATGTTTTAATATTGGGCATGAATTTTCGCGCATCGTACGTATAAAATGCTAGTATTAAAATACACATGGGTGAGGTCATCTATAAAGTTACGGAGTGTGTGTATATATATAGGGCAGGATCAAATGAGAATATGATCCTCCTGTAAAAAGTAAAGACTGATGCAATTAGGATTCATCAATGGTTGAGAGTTTTAGTAGAAAAATACAAGGTCAATTTTATAATTATTATAAAATTTTAAGAACGAGGTTCATTTTATAATATTACAAACTAAAAGTTTAGTCGTGTTTTGATGGAAATTGGTCATAGCTAGAACACTCTTGCCACTTACCTATAGATTTTTGCATTACGGTAGTATGTAGAAATCGTAGGAGGATTTCTCGACTAACCTTAGGTTTTTACACCGTGACAGCGGGTAGGAATTTAGGGATTATTCTTAAGATTGCCTTATGGGTTCTCGATTAACTTGTGTGTGGGTAATATGAATTGCTTAGGTTCTTTATGGGCTAGTTTTGCTTGTTAACTATCGGAGTAGGGAACTCGCGGGCAAGTACACTCGGGCCAAAGACTTTAGTACAATTCCTCCATTCACAAGTGATAGAACTACATTTCTACATTAATTTAGCTCAAGATGTTGGGAAAAATGCAAGACACTCATTAATTATGTGGTTCATGACTTACTCATGGTTTAATATTTACCATAAATTAATGAGTGGTTAATATCCTTTAAATAGTATGAGGCCTCAATTGCTTGAGCTCTATTATTTAAACAGAGCTTTGACTTGAGTTTAAACACTGCAAGACAAACATTTCCTTTCTTTCTTCCTTTCGTGTTTTCTTTTTAAAGTGTGAGCAATAGTAAGGTTCATCTACGTCTAAGATGGTGTAGGCTCAGCGTAGTTTATTATGTGTTACCTGTCGAAAGCGTACTGATTTACTTTGGCTGCACCGTCACTAGGCAAATAATGCTTTTAAGGCAGTGTTATTACAACACGACACATACTTCTTTTCAGTTATACACCTGTCTTGTCCTTGTTTCTTAAAAGGTTTCCAGCCCGTGCGTTGACGTTGTGAATATATTTTCCAACAGTTAAAAGCGTTATTTGCCCGGTGACGATGCAGTCAAAGTAAACCGGTACGCTTTCGACAGGTAACACAGAATAAACTACGCTAAGCCTACACCAACTTAGACGTAGATAAACCTCACTATTGCTCAGACTTTAAAAAATAGACACGAAAGGAAGAAAGAAAGGAAATGTTTGTCTTGCACTGTTTAAACTCAAGGCAAAGCTCTGTTTAAATAGTAGATGCCAACCAATTTAGGCCTCATATTATTTAAAGGATCTTAACCACTCATTAATTTATGGTATATATTAAACCATGAGTACGTCATGAACCACATAACTAATGATTGGCTTGCATTTTTCCAGTGTTGCAAAAATCACTTCTAGGCCAGGCATTCTAGGCGCCCTAGGCGGTCCCCAGACGCCTAGAGGGCGCCTAGCAATTTTTTCAACATTACATTTTTCCCAACACAAGATAGACATTAGACCGATCCATATCCTTTACCTTTGTTACATCTACTATATTTCTCTTCATTTGTTGCATTTAGTTTTGATTTATTTAGTTTCATTGATTGCACTTTGTTTTTATTGAACTAGTTTCGCAATAATCAATCCAAGTTAATGTTTAGCACCCCATTCCATGTGGACCGACACCCTGAAATAATCTCGGGATCTATAAATTTAGCTGACCTTAATCACTTAATGCTGCAATCATGAAGCACTAAGGAGTAGGACATACCACCAAGGCCTGATGGCGTTTGCATAGCTCAGAAGATTTATCTTGACTTACTTGACCAGCAAAACCGTTATTGGAAGCAAATCGCAAAATCATTCTAGCTCAAGGGGGGTGACTCCAATTCTAGTTTTTTTTTTTTTTTTTTTTCACAACACGATTTGTAAGAGCGCGAAGTAACAATTTATTATGCAAATTGCGCAATGAGGTTGGAGGGTGGGTTAACAAAAAGGCCTGAACTCAACGAATTGATAAAGCAATATTTCAGAGATTTATTTAAGGCAAACCCAGGAGACATAGACCCAATCTTAAGTTGCATCAGTATGAAAATCTCAAACGCTCAGAATGAGTTTTTGCTCTGAAGGGTCAACTATGAGGAGGTGAAGTTGGCGCTCTTTGCGTGCATTCATACAAATCCCCTAGACCTTATGGTTTGAACCCGAGGTTCTTCCATGAGTTCTGGGATATTCTTGGTTGTGAGGTTTTCAAACTCTGTGATGAGTTTATTCAAACGGGCCATCTATCCCAAGGTTTAAACTGCACCTATATTGCATTAATTCCCAAGAAGGCAAAGCCAGAAATTATGGGAGATCTGAGGCCTATTTCGTTGTGCAGGGTTGTTTATAAAATTTTTGCCAATGTACTTGCTAATAGGTTAACCTCGGTTAATAATCTCAGAGAACCAAAGTGCATTTATGCCAGGACAAATTATCTTTGATAATGTGATGATAACTTTCGGGACTCAACACTTTTTAAAAGAGGAAAAAGCAAGGGAAGGATGACTATGCTGCATTGAAATTAGATATGAGCAAGGCATATGATTGAGTTGAATGGCATATGCTCATGGCAATATTACTCATACTTGGCTTTTGTGATAGGTGTTTTAACATGTTAATGGAATGTGTTACTACGATAAAGTACTCAATTGTATATGAAGGAGAAGCAATAGGACAAATACTTCCTTATCGTGGGCTTAGACAAGGTGATCCACTATTTCCTTACTTGTTATTATATTGACAAAAGGTCCCAATTATGTTATTAGGAAGATGGATGTTGAGGGATTTTTCCAAGGGGTTGGAGTTGCTAGGAGTGCACCTAAGATATCCCACTTACTGTTTGCAGATGACTGCTTTATTTTCTTCAAGTCAACTCAAAGAGAAAGTCAAGTGTGCAAGGAAATGTTAGATAACTATGCCAAAGCCTCAAAACAACTCATAAATTATGAGAAACCTTGCATAAATTTTAGCAGCAATGTTAGGGAGGAGGTGATTAGCAACATTCTATGGGTGAGGAGAGCGGGAAACTAGGGGAGTTATTTCGGATTGTTTTCTCTTGTGGGAAGAAACAAGAGGGAAATGTATGTTATGCTTTATTAAAAGTGAGATAATGAGTCGTATCACAAGCTGAAACCATAAATTCTTGACCAAAGTTAGGAAAGAGGTGCTGGTGAAAAGTATAGTGCAAGTTATTCCCTCTTATGTAATGAACACTTTTCTACTAACAATTACCACTGTTATGAGATTGAGAGGGTGATGAATAGCTTTTGGTGGGGAGGGGAGTGTGGTGGGTGCAAAGGGATTTGATAGAAGGTTGTGATTTTTCTATGTATCCTAAAATATTGGGGTGGCATAGGTTTTAGGAATCTGATACCCTACATTATAGTTATATTGAGTAAACAAGCCTGGAGGTTGTTGTAAAATCCTAATTTGTTTATATCTAGAGTTTGCAAAGCTACGTACTATCCCAATGCCAATTTTCTTGAAGCCAAGAAGGGAAGTAATCCATCTTTTACCTGGAGAAATCTTTTAGAATCTCATGAAGTGATTAGGAAAGATAACAAATAATGGAAAGTAGGTGATGGTAATTCTACCAATGTATCATTTATATAGTAAATGGTTGAATATATGTATTTAGACATGTCTACCGGAAGCATAAATAATATTTTGGTGTTGTGGAGTTGAAAATATTGTTTATGTTTTCCATTGTTTGGTATGAAGCTTATGATTTGATTGATCAAGAATGTTTTAAGAGAGGTTGTTTAGAGAAGTTAGAGAAGTTGTTTTAGAGAAGTTGTTTAGAGAAGTTGGGTTTACTTGCTTCACTTGGTTTTACTTCTCTTGGTTTTACTTTTATTGACTTTTACTTCTCTTGGGTTTCACTTTTCGGAAGTTGACTTCTTAGGAGGTTACTCTTCGGATGACTTCTCGAGAGGTTACTATTCGGATGACTTCTTGGAAGGTTAGTCTTTGGATGACTTCTCGGACTCTCAGAAGTTGTAATTATTATATTTAATAATATAATGAATTCTTGATCGGTTACACAATAATTTCAATATTAAATTTAAATTATTGTTATCATTATGAATATAATGATAGTGGAGTTTCAAAAACTTCCAATTAACTCTCTTCATTAATCTAATATTTATGAGAATTGAAGAGAGGATGTCTTATGATGGATATAAAAAGATGATTCCATCAAGTTGCCAAGATACGATTTTGTATATTCTTTGCTCTTAACTAAGTAACTGCAGTACTTATGAGAGAGTGATTTTTAAGACAAAAATCTCAAGTTACACCCTTGGTGAACTTTTTAGAAAAGCAACCGAAAAGTTTAACATTATTCTTGTATCTCAAAAGTTCTAATTTGTTACTCATGTTGCTTGTTAAGGGAAATTAGACACTTTTAGGATAGTGTGTCTGCACACGCCTAAAGATTGTGATCAAGCTCCCCTTGTTTTTCTGGTTCTCAGGTTGCTCTTTTGTGAGACTAGACTGTCTCTTTTTCCTAACAG